AGGCGCATAAGGAGACCTTGCATGGTGGCATTAATTTAATGAGAAACCAAATCCAAAGGAAGTATTGGATATTTAGGTTAAGGGATTCTCTAAAGAAAGTGTTGAGAGAGTGCGTCATCTATGCACGATATCGGCAATGTACAGGCAAACAAATAATGGGTAATCTGCCCAAGTGCAGGGTAAATGTAGCATACCCTTTTCTAAATACAGGCATAGACTATGCAGGACCATACCACATAAAATGCTCAAAAAATCGGGGTCAAAAAACTTTTAAGGGCTATATCTCAGTGTTTGTATGTATGGCTACGAAGGCAATTCATTTGGAAGTTGTTAGTGATTTAACTTCTGATGCATTCCTAGCAGCATTACAAAGATTTATAGCAAGAAGGGGAAAATGTACCAATATATATTCGGATAATGGTACTAATTTTGTAGGAGCTGCACGGAAGTTAGACGAAGAATTAGTAAAAGCTATACAATATAACTCCAGAGTAGCTGCAGAAAAGGAAACTGAAAAAATTCAGTGGCATTTGATCCCGCCGGCAGGACCTCACTTTGGAGGTATTTGGGAAGCGGGTGTTAAGTCCATAAAGTATCATTTAAAAAGAGTGATAGGAGATAGTATATTGACATACGAAGAAATGTCAACCCTTTTATGCCAAATCGAAGCAGTACTGAATTCTAGGCCGCTATATACAACGGGAGAAGACGTGGATGATAATGAAGTGCTAACGCCAGGGCATTTCTTAATAGGTCGACCAACGTTGGATATAGTGGAGGCAGTTGAAGAAAATGAAAAAATTTCGAGCCTAGATAGGTGGAGATTAATTCAAAAAATGAAAAGAGATTTTTGGGTCAAATGGAAAGAGGATTATTTATATACCTTACAGCAAAGATATAAATGGAAAAAAGGTAATCAAAATATAGAAAAAGGGCAAATAGTGCTTTTAAAAGATGAAAACTGTCACCCAGCCAGATGGCCAATGGCAAAAGTAGAAGAAATTCATAAAGGCAGGGACGATAAAGTTAGGGTTGTCAAAGTAAAAACCTCAGAAGCATCATTGACGAGGCCGATTACCAAGATTTGTCCTTTAGTTGGTGTACAACAAGCTGAGGATGCAACCACAACTCCGACCGTAAACCATAAAAAAAGAGTTTCCCCTAGGTTATCTAAACTAGGGAGCATAGTAATACTGACTTTGATTGCTTTAGTTTGTCAGGTATCCAGTGCTTCAGCTATGAAACCCAAAAGGAATGTGTTTGAGGTACAAAAGATAAATAGTACTGCGGCAATATATTTAGATCCACTAGGAGATGTGGAAATTGTAAGTACATCTTGGAATTTAGTGATCTATTATAATATGGATGCATATTTCAAGATGATTTTAAAAGGAAAAGCTCTGATAAGGGAAATGAGAAAAATTTGTGACAAGCTTCACAGCTTTGAAGACCAATGCCATCTAGTTTTGAATAATATGCAAAATCAGTTATTAGAACTAGAGGAGAATAATAAATTATTCATGATGCAACCAAGATCCAGAACCAGGCGTGCTCCTTTCGAGTTTATGGGTTCATTGTATCATATTTTATTTGCTATAATGGATGAAGATGACAGGGAACAATTGGAAGAAAATATGAAGAACTTATTAGACAATCAGAGGAACATAGATAAATTAGTTCAAAAGCAAACTTCAGTTGTTGATTCAACTACTAATTTATTAAAAAGAACAACCGAGGATGTTAACGCCAATTTTAGGAGTATGCAAGTAAGAATTGAGAACATGACAGAAGTTCTTAAGGAGAATTACTATGTATACAAAGAATCAATAAAATTCTTTATGGTAACCAAACAGCTTCAATCATTGATTGAAGAAGGTGAGAAAGTCCAATCCGGGATTATAAACCTTTTAATAGATATTAATCACGGTAGGCTGAATACAAACATCCTTAGGCCAAATCAGCTTTAAAGTGAGATTGCTAAAATTCAGGAAAATTTGTCGGAAAATCTAATAATTCCAGGGAAGAGGTCAGGTACGGAACTTAAGGAGGTATATACTTTATTGACAGCAAGGGGATTATTTATAGAGAATAAATTAATCATCAGTGCAAAGGTGCCTTTGTTTAGTAGGCATCCGTCTAAGTTATTCAGGCTAATTCCGTTGCCTATTAGGAATGTCGAACAAATGATAATGGTACAACTAACTTCCGAATATTTGATTTATAATTTTGAAATCGATTCGTATCATTTAATGAGTGAAGCAACCTTAAATCAATGTCAAAAATGGCAACAAGGTAAAAGAATATGCAAAGGAAGTTGGCCCTGGAACTCCGCGAATGACAACGCATGTGAGGTTCAACCATTAAAACCAAATAGAGCTTCGAATTGCGTATATAAAACGATAGTTGGTTCTACAAGTTACTGGGTAGAACTGGAAAAGAAAAGTAGTTGGCTGTTTAAGGTTCCGCTTAATACCAAAATAAGGGTGCAGTGTACTGGCTCTCAAATGCAGTTGTGTGAGCTGCCTGAGCAAGGGATTTTCAGTATTGCGTCATATTGTACTGCAAGAACGGATGACAAGATTTTAATAGCATATCATAATATTCAATCGGAAAGATTCTGTCAACACCATACATAGGAGATGTTAGCGAAGTTCCGAAAATTATGTGGGATCCGTTAAAACTAACCCCATTAGATCATACGATTGAAATTGATAAATTAAAAAAAGAAATTAAAGATCTTAAAGAAAATCATCCACAATTGAAGGATTTGCATTTCCATCATATTTCCGGACACGCTGGGCTTATATTTTCATTGATAATTATAGCAGTTTTAATAATATATTTTGTGAAAAAATGTTTGATTAGGCAAAGATTAGAAGCCATAACGTTCGCCGGCCCGTTGCCAGGAATTTAATTTCAAATAATTAAGTAAAAAATATATATATGTTAAAAAATTATAAAAATTTACAGTCCACTAAATCGTTGAAGCAATTATACATAAGCAATAAATTATGTAAATCTTATGTCAGTTTTGCAAGCCTTTGGCAGAATGTTCAGAAAGAACACACGAAAAAGTATATACATAGATAAGATGCATATGTTAGGTACTAAATCTTTGCAGCTATGTACTGCATTTGTCTATCTATAAGTACATCCGCCACTTGGGCCTACCTAAATACAAGCAACCCGAAATATGACCTCCTGCGAGCGGTCTGGTCTTGTTTATGATACCATATGTGCTATCGGAGTAAATGTGTGCTCCCTTATCACACTTAGAGTATTACCCACGATTGGGAACTGTCCGATGCGTGGGTCTAGAACTAAGATTAATAATGTACATTCTCATGTTAGCTATTTAAGATAGGATTTGAACGAATAAAATTTAGTTTGAAATATTAACTCAACAACGTCAGACGCTCGTTTTATTTACAGCCTCTCTCGACAAGTATGGACATACCGAAAGCTTCTGCACTCTACGTGCAGTTTGTGTTGTCTGTGGATGATAATGCATTAAGAAAGTTTAGCAACTGTGGAACCATACTGACCACTACAGGGGCTGTCCAGTCTACAAGGAGATCAAAAACCGACTAGGACAGAAACGTAACGAAACAGCTACTGTCCAGTATACCAGCCAACCAAACTTTCAAGCAGCTGTCACGACACCCTGGAGTCTTCTTTGACAATGTCGTTAGATACCCAACATTGAGGACCATTCATCAGCTATCCACATCTACAAGTTTCCCACCTTTGCCAAAATCAGCATACCAATCACTGCCAGCTCAAAAAGCTGAAATAACAAAGAAAACTCCCGTCCACCCAGAACAGACAAACGACTCCCAAACACCGAGCGGGTACGAAGCGCCTCTACCTACGCTGTCGATGCGAAGTACCCTCTAAGAGCTGGCACCAAGCCAAAACCGTCTCTTGGAATGTTTGGTTGGGGGTATCCTTGATCAGTATCAATAGCGAAGTCGATTAAGCCATGTCAGTCTGTCCGTCGTCCGTCCTTCTGTCCATATGAAGGCTGAGATCTCAGGAACTAAAAGAGATATAGAGTTGAGATTAGGCAGCCAGATTCTTGAGGTCCACACATAGCAGTTTATTTCAGCATCTTGCCATGCCCACTATAACGCCCACAAACCGCGGAAAACTGTGGCGTCCATTTATTATAGTGTATGTCTTTGTTTGACCTCGTATAATATATTTTTATTAATATTTATCGATTTACCATAGAACATTATTTCGCTATTTATGCAACAATGGGTGACGCTTTGGAATTTTCCACTAATCTACAAAATGGATTTTTCAAAAATGTGTAAAACAGTATCGGGTATCTTATAGTCGCGGCACTCGTATATAGCGTTTCTTCTTGTTTTAATATTATTTGTTAATTATTTAGTGGGTTTAAAATGCGTATAGGCTAGCGTTGGGAGACTACTCCGGAAAATCCCATCTAATCCCGAGCTTTGTTTGCCTTTAAATCCCCCTCCCAACGACTAATGGCACATATATATACTTTATATATTCGGAAACACTTATATCTATTCCGCTGTATGAATAGTATGTATTTCGATGCCTAATCGGTCTAACCGAAACATCGTTTTTTTTTATTAATAACTGATTTAGCTGTTTAAACATCATTTTATTTTTAGAAATAATCAACTGTTTCAGTTTTTTTTGTATAATCTTTTAGACTAAATACGACATAGATGGGCAAGTGTATTGTACATCGAAATAACCATCATAAATAATTATTAGATTAATCATTAGATCATTTTTTATGACAAATATTTTTTTATGATTTTACATTTTCTTGTTAATCTCAAAAGACGAGGACCCTTGAAAACTACTATGGTTGTTATCAATGCAGCAAAAAAAATTTCTGAAGCTGGAACAAAATTAGATAAACGTAACAGAGGAAATATCGGAAAATATTAAAGAGAAATATTAGAGTTAATATATCAATATTTTTTTTAGCTGCATAGCGCAACATCGTTGATTCAAGCCGATAAAAATGTAATGAATGCAGTTGTATTAACAGTCATATACTCGTATGCGGCATCGACAAAATATACTATGCAAGGGACTATATCGGTAAGATTGATTTCTAAAAATGAAGCCAGAAATATTTTATTAATTTCAATTTATTTTTTAGTCCCCAATTGTAGTGTGGAAAATGAAGGCTCCAGAAAAGAAACCATTGGTCAGGCCTGAAAACGCTGAAGAAGTTAGGGCAAAAGTTCGCAAGGGATCTCAAAAAAAGATTCAGAACCCTATACATGCATTGTCTGAATTTCAAAGTCCTGCTGATGCTGTTTAAAATAAAATAATTAAATAACGGTAAAAAGAAAAATATAAATCGATATTGGACTTGTCTTTATTTTAAAAAATCTCCCATTTATTCAATTTTATCGATTAAAACGTTATTGTAATATCACAACTACTGTTATATCAAAGTAATAAAAAAAATCTATATCTACACATTAAAAGTTCTACATTTACATTTTCTTTTTATTTGCAACCGGAGGTGTTTGGATCTTGCTAAGGAGCCCAAAAAGGTTGCAAGATCTGAAGCATTTCTCGAAATCAAACGTCTCGACCAGGAGTGCTCAAATTCGTCTTACGGCAGATCATTTACTGCCACAAATACAAGAAAACGTCCACAATTTAGTGACGCTTTTGTGTTGATTTGCAGCAAAACTTATCTCCCAACATGCCCATATGCACGGAGCTTTACAAAAACAAATGATCACTAAGAGCATAGGCGTTGGCCCCGACTCCTAACCCCAAACAGGGTTGCCATTACTTAGTCTTGCAGCTCATAATGCCCTTCCCCCTCTCCACAATCGACGCACTGACGTCAGCTTAGGCAATCTCTTCTACGGTACCATCGGTAACTACCGTTTTTGCAAATACAATAACAACCACGTCTACGTCGTCGTCGGCTCTACAGCTAATTCTGTCATTGCAAGCTGGACTCGCCTCTGCAGTTCCTCCCCCAAAAACTGCACGGCTTCAATTTCAAAATATTCATTTTGCTAGTGGAAATTCACAGAGCGCCACCTATTGTCAGAAAAAGCATGTTTACTAACTAATCGTGCCGTCACTGGCCCTGTGAGCCCTTAAACCCTTTGAACTTGGTGGCCGTAAGAGTGGGTGTGGTATCATCTTAAGATGGGCTTGCATCTCAATATTTTAAATACTGAATTTCAACTTTCAAGCTCTAATAGTTCCTCAGATTTCAGCAATTTTAGTTTTTCGTGATTTGTGGGCGCTAGAAAAGGCGTGGCAGGATGCTAAAAAAAGTTGCGCAGCGTAGCTCTCTTATAGTTCCTGAGATCTCAGCGTTCATACGGATATGGCTAAATCGACTTCGCTATCGATCCTGATCATGAATTCTTTTACCTGTTTCATCCTTTTCAACGAGTGTAGTATACTATTATATACAAGTATTTTACTCTACGATTAACGGGTATAAAGGGAACCGTCCAAGAAACAAAACTGAAGGTCAACAATGAAGAAAATTAAGATAGATCGTAAAGCAGCAAGGGCTCTCAAGTAGTTATAAAAGGAAAAAAGGCTATTGTCCCGGTTTCGCAGTCAAGCTTGTTACGAACATAGTTAACAGGGCAAAAATAGCACAATCACTGTTTGAGATCTAGCTAGCGGCCGAGTCCGCCGAACCCCAGAAAAACTCAGTTCCCCCATATATAAGTTTTAGTACCTTCTCCAACGTAGAAATACCGTGTAGGAGCCTCATAATAGAAACGTTCCTGTCCAATGCGTGAACTGCCAGGAGTATGGACATACCGAAAGCTTCTGAACTCTACGTGCAGTTTGTGTTGTCTGTGGATGATAATGCATTAAGAAAGTTTAGCAACTGTGGCTGGAACCCTACTGACCACTACAGGGGCTGCCGAGTCTACAAAGAGATCAAAAACCGACTAAGACAGAAACGTAACCAAACAGCTACTGTCCAGTGTACCAGCCAACCAAACTTCCAAGCACCTATCACGACACCCTGGAGTCTTCTTTGCCAATGTCGTTAGATACCCAACATTGAGGACCATTCATCAGCTATCCACATCTAAAAGTTTCCCACCTTTGCCAATATCAGCATACCAATCACTGCCAACTCAAAAAGCTGAAATAACAAAGCAAACTCCCGTCCACCCAGAACAGACAAACGACTCCCAAACACCGAGCGGGTACGAAGCGACTCTACCTACGCTGTCGATGCAAAGTACCGTCTCTTGGAATGTTTGGTTGGGGTATTCTTGATCAGTATCAATAGCGAAGTCGATTAAGCCTTGTCAGTCTGTCCGTCGTCCGCCCTTCTGTCCATATGAAGGCTGAGATCTCAGGAACTAAAAGAGATATAGAGTTGAGATTAGGCAGCCAGATTCTTGAGGTCCACACATAGCAGTTTATTTCAGCATCTTGTCACGCCCACTATAACGCCCACAAACCGCGGAAAACTGTGGCGTCCATTTATTATAGTGTATGTCTTTGTTTGACCTCGTATAATATATTTTTATTAATATTTATCGATTTACCATAGAACATTATTTCGCTATTTACGCAACAATGGGTGGCGCTTTGGGATTTTCCACTAATCTACAAAATGTATTTTTAAAAAATGTGTAAAACAGTATCGGGTTTCTTCTTGTTTTAATATTATTTGTTAATTATTTAGTGGGTTTTAAATGCGTATAGGCTAGCGTTGGGAGGCTACCCCGGAAAATCCCATCTAATCCCGAGCTTTGTTTGCCTTTAAATCCCCCTCCCAACGACTAATGGCACATATATATACTTTATATATTCGGAAACACTTATATCTATTCCGCTGTATGAGTAGTATGTATTTCGATGCCTAATCGGTCTAACCGAAACATCGTTTTTTTTTATTAATAACTGACTTAGCTGTTTAAACATTATTTTATTTTTAGAAATAATCAACTGTTTCAGTTTTTTTTGTATAATCTTTTAGACTAAATACGACATAGATGGGCAAGTGTATTGTACATCGAAATAACCATCATAAATAATTATTAGATTAATCATTAGATAATTTTTTATGACAAATATTCTTGCAACCGGAGGTGTTTGGATCTTGCTAAGGAGCCCAAAAAGGTTGCAAGATCTGAAGCATTTCTCGAAATCAAACGTCTCGACCAGGAGTGCTTAAATTCGTCTTACGGCAGAGCATTTACTGCCACAAATACAAGAACACGTCCACAATTTAGTGACGCTTTTGTGTTGATTTGCAGCAAAACTTATCTCCCAACATGCCCATATGCACGGAGCTTTTACAAAAACAAATGATCACTAAGAGCATAGGCGTTGGCCCCGACTCCTAACCCCAAACAGGGTTGCCATTACTTAGTCTTGCAGCTCATAATGCCCTTCCCCCTCTCCACAATCGACGCACTGACGTCAGCTTAGGCAATCTCTTCTACGGTACCATCGGTAACTACCGTTTTTGCAAATACAATAACAACCACGCCTACGTCGTCGTCGGCTCTACAGCCAATTCTCTCATTGCAAGCTGGACTCGCCTCTGCAGTACCTCCCCCAAAAACTGCACGGCTTCAATTTCAAAATATTCATTTTGCTAGTGGAAATTCACAGAGCGCCACCTATTGTCAGAAAAAGCATGTTTACTAACTAATCGTGCCGTCACTGGCCCTGTGAGCCCTTAAACCCTTTGAACTTGGTGGCCGTAAGAGTGGGTGTGGTATCACCTTAAGATGGGCTTGCATCTCAATATTTTAAATACTGAATTTCAACTTTCAAGCTCTAATAGTTCCTCAGATTTCAGCAATTTTAGTTTTTCGTGATTTGTGGGCGCTAGAAAAGGCGTGGCAGGATGCTAAAGAAAGTTGCGCAGCGTAGCTCTCTTATAGTTCCTGAGATCTCAGCGTTCATACGGATATGGCTAAATCGACTTCGCTATCGATCCTGATCATGAATCCTTTTACCTGTTTCATCCTTTTCAACGAGTGTAGTATACTATTATATACAAGTATTTTACTCTACGATTAACGGGTATAAAGGGAACCGTCCAAGAAACAAAACTGAAGGTCAACAATGAAGAAAATTAAGATAGATCGTAAAGCAGCAAGGGCTCTCAAGTAGTTATAAAAGGAAAAAGCCTATTGTCCCGGTAGCTTAAGAAAGAGGGTTTCGCAGTCAAGCCTGTTACGAACATGGTTAACAGGGCAAAAATAGCACAATCACTGTTTAAGATCTAGCTAGCGGCCGAGTCCGCCGAACCCCAGAAAAACTCAGTTCCCCCATATATAAGTTTTAGTACCTTCTCCAACGTAGAATTACCTTGTAGGAGCCTCATAATAGAAACGTTCCTGTCCAATGCGTAAACTGCCAGGAGTATGGACATACCGAAAGCTTCTGAACTCTAAGTGCAGTTTGTGTTGTCTGTGGATGATAATGCATTAAGAAAGTTTAGCAACTGTGGTTGGAACCATACTGACCACTACAGGGGCAGTCCAGTCTACAAAGAGATCAAAAACCGACTAAGCCAGAAACGTAACCAAACAGCTACTGGCTAGTATACCAGCCAACCAAACTTTCAAGCATCTATCACGACACCCTGGAGTCTTCTTTGCCAATGTCGTTAGATACCCAACATTGAGGACCATTCATCAGCTATCCACATCTACAAGTTTCCCACCTTTGCCAAAATCAGCATACCAATCACTGCCAGCTCAAAAATCTGAAATAACAAAGAATACTCCCGTCCACCCAGAACAGACAAACGACTCCCAAACACCGAGCGGGTACGAAGCGACTCTACCTACGCTGTCGATGCAAAGTACCCTCTAAGAGCTGGCACCAAGCCAAAACCGTCTCTTGGAATGTTTGGTTGGGGTATTCTTGATCAGTATCAATAGCGAAGTCGATTATGCCTGTCCGTCGTCCGCCCTTCTGTCCATATGAAGGCTGAGATCTCAGGAACTAAAAG